GATCTTAATAGTCAATCATATTGAAAGTCAAAGTCATACAATCAAAAAATAGAAGTAGGATAGCCTGGGGAGCTATGTTGTAGATAATAAATTGTCAAAATCTTTAGAAATTGTAATTTGTTGTGTAATTTGTTGAAGCTCTGAAGACATAGACACTCAAGTGCTGGTAGTGATAGTGTGAACTGATACATGTCTTAGAAGGCACATTTAAAGTACATCTCAAAAATGTAAAACTCTTCACCCATGACTAAGAATACTAACTACTTCAAGAAAATTTACTTAATAAATTAATGATAGATGAATTAAAAAGTAAGCTGTAGTAACATAACTAAATGCCTGTGTTAGGTACTTTTAACGAAAGAAGTTATTCAATCTCATATATAGAATGTTCATAAATCAGAACATATAATTGCATTATGTAAATGGATTTAAGTAGAAAGTGAAGGTTGCAAGTTATAAACTATAGCAATCCTATTTTAAAAATTGTTTAGAACATCACTTCTCGGCCCTTTGACTAAGATAAAGTGTAAAAAGTTGTCTAGTGTGAAGTCTAAAGATGCTCATGTTTAATACTTACATAAATAAATCGATAATCCCCAGGCTTATATATACTTATTAGTTAGAATCATAAGAAATCATTGTTTTAGTACATAAAAACATGAGCAAATATCACCAATTTTATTCAGTTGAATCTCATTTGTTAACTTATTTTTTTCCTTATGCAATTTTCTAAATTACTATATCTTTAAGCAGTTACATTACAAGGTAGTAGCCACTACCTTGCTCTGACACAGGACTGGGTATCCTAAGTGTTGTTACCATAGAGCAGGGCCTGTAGGCAAAAAGAAACACTGCAGAGCTAATACTAGAGAGTTTTCCATGAGGAGCTGGAGGGGACCTTTTATAGGAAATAGCTGGGATAAAGTAGGGTAGAACTGAATAAGAAGGTACCAACTGCATGGCAATTGGCGTGACTTGCAAGTACTTTCAGACATGTACCTATCTAAAAGTTTTAACAATGCAATGTATGGAATTAAAATATGCATACTATGAATTACAAAAAGTTCAGAGGGTTGGAGTCTATGCAATATGAATGACAATGTTTAGTAACTATCAAAAAATTCAATTAAAAAAGCAGTGCTGATGGGTTAGTTTTCTAAGTGATAAAAAATGGGTGATTTGTTGTTGTTTTACTGTTATTTTATAAATGCTTGAAATTTTTTATTTGTAAAACTTCAAACGATGGCAAAATATTGTCATCAGTCAATCAGAATCTTATGAATCATGGAAAGGTCAATATATTGGCTCTACAAACAGAAAGCTTTGGGAAAATGGGAAACTGCACAGGTACTCACAATAGGAATGACACAAAGTTTACCAATAAACATATTCGCTGTACTCAGCTTCATCAGTCATTAGGGTACCTCATTATTTCTGTTTACCAATCACAGGGAAATAGGAAGAGAGAATTGTGAAGAGAGAGAGTGGGAGAGAGAGTGAAGAGGTAGATAATAGAAAGCATTCCTAGAATTTCTGAGGTTTTAAAAATAAAAGTACTCTTTAATATAATATAAATTAAAAATATTTACTATATTTTAATATATCTATTTCTAGACATCTAGACAAAGGCAGACTTTAATATATGCATATGTATATATGTACACACATAAAATGGTAGCATGTTTATTTACATATATGCAAATACGTAATAGGATGTGACTGAAATATCAATAAATAGTGATTGTATTAATCATATTATAGTACATGTCTACAATGGAATAAAACTATTAACATCATCTAAAGAATCCTGCATATATAGGTCTAGAATGTATTTCATATATGCAATAAGCAAGACAATATAAAATAAAAATAGTAATGTGATACTTTATATGAGCGAGTGAACAAAGTTCTCCAAGAATGTATACCTATGGCTAACGTTGAAAAGTAGGATTTCGTTTCCTAAGGTCTATATTTATGTATTATTTAAATGGTCTAAAACAAGCTTGTATTGTCTTATCTAATCATTTATTTTTTCAAAGAACAAAATAAAAGATTCAAAATGAATTTCCTCATAAATTTAATTTACTGATGTCAGAATCATTGAAATAGCGTTTAAAAATTTAAGTTTTGTAAGTATGAAAACAATTATTTTCCTATTTTATAAAATCACAATGTTACTTCAGAGAAAATGTGCTCCATAAGAAAATTTATCTGTAAGATAAAAACTCACTTTCCTCACTTCTGACCAGTCTATTGCTAATTTCTTTAAAATGCATTTATTCTTTAGTTGCTTGATACAAGTAAGAAAGGGATTAAAGGCAAAAACCAGAGCATATTTCAGAGAGGAGAGATATGGGCAAGGAGAGAATAGAAGTAGGAAAAGAAAGCTAGAAGGGACACCATACAGGTTAAAAGGGAGGGAGTTAAAATAAAGCACCAAGGGAGGATTTCTGAGTCTATTGTTACCTACTCTTGCTTAGAGTATTGCTTTCTGTCTTTAGAACACCTCAGGACAGGGCTGGTGGTTTAGCTCAGTGATGCCACCACTTGCTTTGTAAACACAAGGTTGTCAGTTTGACTCCTTGTACCAAAAAAAAAAAAAAAAAAGAACACCTCAGAACAGCAATAAAGCTCTTGTAATTTGTTGAATGGGTTTCTGCCCAGCCTCTTAATCTGGCCCGACCACCTCAGACCTGTGAACTACATGACAGCTTCTTGTTCTTTCATGAATGCACTCATATTTAAAAAGAAAAACAAAAACATTGTTCACTTAACTGATAATTTCTCATTGTAAAAATTTCATCTCATGCATCATTTCATCAAGAATATCTCATGCATCATTTCATCAAGAATATCTCCCTTTCTACTCCAGTATGTTAGTCTTCTTTTGAGTTTACGCACCATCCCATCAACCTCTTATATTACTTGTTTCATAATGTAATGAATAGTAGTCTCCTTGTCTCCCTTCCTAAAACCATGAAATTCCTGAGAGCAAGAACTGTATCTTCTTCTTAAATTCTGGTTCATGGTAAATGTGAGTTTGAAAGAGAGGTAAGTGGTGGGGTGGATGTTAGCATGCATAAGTATTTAAATGGATAGATAAGTGATGATAATGGTTTATTAATGAAGAAAGTTCATCCTACATCTTTATCCTATTGAAAACTGATGCCATCAGAACTATTACAAGTAATTGTTTCTCTCGAAATTATCACACACAAATAGTAGGTCTGAGTAGATTTATTGTAAAACACATTTCCAAGGTCTTTGTTGAGTCTTCAGGGGCATAAAATATAAAAGCAGAAATTTCCCACAGAGCCAGGCTTATGGAGCAATGACAATTTTAACTTCCTTTTGGAAATTCAGGCATATGTGGCTGTTTAATAAATACATTTAAAATAAAAGACAGAAAGCAAGATGTGCATGAGTTTTCACAGTATTCATTACCTATATAAGAAAAATAACATGATATTTTTAGACTATTGACTTTAATTTTTTTTTTCATTGTGCTTATTGGTACTTTGTAGGTATACAGTATGCTTACATTCATCATTGGGATCTTCTACCTTTCCATAATTTATCTTGGTTCTTATTTTTTCCTCATACCCCTGCCCTCCTTTTACTCCTCCACCCTTTCCTATTTACAAAGACTTTGTTTCCATTTTTTTCCTTTTCTCATATTTTTTTCTTTTCTTCTTTTCTTTCCCCTGCTCTTCCCATTTCCCCTACTCTTTTAGCCCTTTTCTTGTTTGATTGAACCCAGCTATCCCTCTGCTGGGTGTCTTTCCAAATGAATTAAGAAAAATCATACCACAGTGATATATGCACACCCAAGTTTAAATTGACTTTAATTTTAACATACTCACCTGTACCCTCACTCTGCCCATGAAAAGATGGCAGAGAGCTGCATTTCCACTATTCTTGGTACTCTTAAGATGTGTTTTCCTCTGATGTTGTGTGTTTAGTGCTTCTCACAAGTGCTCTAGCTCTAAAAACAAATAGCAAAATTTGGTGATCACTGGATGGCCTGTGCTCTGAGTCCCCAGATCACTTACCATGGGAATTCTACTTCTGAATCTCTATTGCCTTAAGAGGAAAAGCACTGTAAGTTTCATTAAGAAACCAAATAGAAATCAGAGGAAACTATGCCTAATAAAATACCTCAAAAGAAAATTAACATTTGATATTTTATTGTCTATTCATAAATTAAATATGATTTAGAATAGTATTAATGAGAAAGGAGTAGCCTTGATAAACAATATATAAACAAATAGGAGATCATATTCTACCTAATTATTCACACATATCTAATGTTGTAGGTTGTACACATTCCTTTTCAGTGCATTATTTTAAGCTTAATTTTTTAGTGAAAAATTAATTATTCCAATTTTCCTATTTTTAGCCCAAGTTTTATATAACACCTAACCTATACAATTTAAAATGGGAGAAAAATTAGTATATTAATTATAACATTTCAAATCAAAAGTATATTTTTATCTAACATCAAGCAAAGAGAAAGATGAAACTATTTCAAGTATGATGCTGAAAGAACTATTAATCCAAATTGAATGATTAAAATATTACTTCATAATTTAAAATATTTCTTCATTTATCTTTATTTTAGTCTTTATTTTATTGAGTTAAAATTCAGATAAAATAAAATCTATCATTTTAGAGATAGAATTCCCTGGTATGTATGTACGTATGTATGCATGTATTTATTTATTTATTTTCCTTTTTTATTGGTACATTTTAGGTGTACAATACAGTTACATTTATCATTGGGATTTTGTATCTTTACATTTGAAAGAAAAATGTGAATAGTCCCATTTTCTTAAGTTTTTATTTTCTTATAAAAGTTCTACTCTGAGTCTTTTTATGAATAAATGTGTACTTTTAGGATCAACCACTTAGGGATGCTTTAAAGTTAATTCTAGTGGTATTTTTAATACTGATATTAATATAAATTGCTGCAGTAGTAGTACTTTCTGTTTTATAATTCAATGACTTTTGAAGCAAATAAGGTGAGCAAAAATGCATTGTTTTTTGGTATAACACATCACATTCAGAGTTTATTGCTTTTTAATTTGATATACCCAATAGGATTTAATGTATCCATTAAGAAAATACTTGAATTCTTGTTAATCTCCTAGAAATAACAAAAGCCCTTTGTACATCTGGTACTTCTAATTCTGTTCTTACTGCCATCAATGGTATTTTATAACATTGTTGAATTAAAACAATAACATCAATACCTTCAGTTATATTCAACAGCAGGGCTACACACAGACTACACAAGCAGAACGTGTGGAGAATATTATGCCAAGAAAAACAATAATGTAATTTTTATAAATATATAGAATGTTTCTTATAGCTATTTGGCCATGACTTTTCATAGGAGATGTATTCTCAGGAAAAGTTTTATTAATTTTTATGACTCATAAAAATCATATTTGTTTGTAATCAAACTAAACTTTTCTCTAAACAAAATGTTTTCCTGCAGCTAATTAGTAGGTCTTCAATTAATTGCCATACTGTTACTCTTTGTTGGCTTTTTCCAGTTGTAAAATGAGTATAATTATGATTATGAAATAGTGATTAGAATGTTTTAACATAGACCTGTGCTATAAAGGAAATCAAAAGCAATGGAAATTACAAGAGCAATAACAAACTACTGTCTGGTTGGCAACTTTGAAAGAGGGTGATGAACACCAGTCAGTAGGACATAGTAATGGCTGTTGGAATTAATTGCTAAATTTTAGCATAGCCCATAAGGTAGGAGAAGAATAAAGAGGAATACAAAGGAGAATAAGGAGAAGGAAGAGGAAGAGGACACAAAAAGAAAGAAGGAAAGGAAAAAGAAGGGAAGGACAAAATGGGTTTAGGGGAAGGAAATAGACAAAACTAGAAGGGAAAGGAATATAAATCTATTTTCCAACTTGACAGAATTAATTTCTACAGATGTGAATTTAAATAGCTAAATGAATAAAGACAAAGTTTCTATAACTTGTTGGTAAGGAATCCAATTGTCTCATGTGTCATTACTGTGATACTGCAAAACCTTTTATTATGGTTAGAGGAACATGATATATTTCAAACATCATAGCTTCTCAGGCTGATAAAAGAGAGTAGACACATCACCTATGAAGATGAAGATGTTGAAAACAGGAATTATTGAACTCTGAACACATGCGGCAGAAGTGTGAGGTCCCAAGAATGTTCTGATTTGTAACTGTAAATCTTTTGTGTTAAATTATTTGATGCATAGTCCCTGTCTCTGACTTAACCGCAGACTCTGGCGTATTTAATTCACATAGATATTTGCAGTTTCAGTTTCTCAAATGCCATCTTTTTTGGAATGGAAATTTAATAGTAGTTGGAGTATTCTATGCATTTTAGAGTTCTATACTGAATATTAATTCTCAGGAGCCAGACTTTTGATTTTGAGGCAGACCTCAGGTTTTAAGTTGTATCTTACAGGTTTAATAATATTTGGGACTTATGATCAGAGAACTTTTCTTCCAAATGCTCATGCTTTATTTTTTCTTTTGATCTTTTCTTTGGGACATTTATTCTTCCACAGATTGTTAACCACCATCTCCTTGACTAGTTAATGTGCTCTTGTACTTAAATATTTATTTCTGAAAATAGTCTTATTAATTTTATCAAAACTAGTACTAATACCTCTATTTTTATTCAATTGACTCATTTATTTATTAGTGAAATAATCATTGACCTTCAGTTATATGCTAAATATTCCTGGAATATTTTAAATTTACACATAGGGACTATTTTTCTAAAAACACCTCCTAAGCAATAAAATATACTTTAAAAATGTATGGTATTTAAATCGCAGGTTTACTAAATTCAATTAATTTTGCTTCATACTATAAAATCATTTTTCTATGACCCCTCTGTTTCTTTGTTGAAGAAAATTAAAGCTCTGAAAATATGACCTAATATAACAAGTAAACAATTTATAATTCCTTCACATGCTTGTGTGCTCAGCTTTGTACCTTACCTACCTCTGGCCTTTTCTCCCTTGAATTTACTAAGGTCTTAAATTTTCTCTTTTTAAAAAATTTCATGTGTAGTTTTATCATAGCCCTACAAGGTATTAAATTACTTTACTATTCTTGTTTCACCTTGGAAATCATGTGGAATGGATCCTTTCTGAGCACATTTCCTTTGTTATTACATTTTAGTATGATATTTCTATATCATACAGAGAAGCACCTCAGCAGTTGTGGTTCAGGAAAATATACTGTGTTTTGTTAGTGGGCATTATTATAAACTTGTATACAGTGCTTGCAGACATATGCAAAAATTGATCTTTAGAGTGGCCTTGCTGGCTGTGTGAATGTTCTATGATAAGGCCAATTTTTTTCAAAGTGATTAATCTAGAAGTCTTTTCTTTTAGTAATGTTTAAGAAATACTTTCAATTCACATATTCAGAAAATCTAATGCTTTGTCTTTTCCTTTAGATAGATTTAGACTGAACTAAAAGGAAGAAGTAAACCAATCTGGTGTCAAAATTCATTACTTGAGCTTTGTGACTCATTCCAGGGCTTCTTTCTAGTGATATTTTCTTCACTTTATTTGATCACCATTTTAGGCAATATCTTCATTGTGGTCATAATCATTACTGACCCTCAACTCCACTCCCCCATGTACTTCCTATTGGCTAACGTTTCCTTCATTGATTTCTGCCTTTCCTCTGTCACTACCCCTAAAATGATCACAGTCTTTCTCAAAGAAAGGAAGACCAAAAAATAAAAATAAAAAAAATAAAAAACCAAAAAACCCAAAAGAAAAGAAGACCATCTCCTTTGTAGGGTGTATGTGTCAGATTTTCTTTGGATACTTCTTTGGAGGAGGTGAAATGGTACTGATTGTTTCAATGGCTTATGACTGCCAGGTGACCATCTGTAAGCCACTCCATTGCTCTAGCATCATAAACAGACATATGTGCATTGGGTTAGTGATGACATCATGGATCATTGGCTTTTTACATTCGATTAGCCAACTAGTTGTCATTGTGAAGCTGCCCTTCTGTGACTCTGAACCTAGAGAATTTAATAGCTTTTTCTTTGACCTTCCATTGGCGATCAAGCTAGCCTGCACAGATACCTATATTCTAGAAAATTTGATAAATGCTGACAGTGGCATACTAGCAACAATCTGCTTTATTCTGTTGCTGATCTCTTACTGTAGTATTCTGTTGACTGTCTTCCTTCACTCTAAGAGTGAGTCACCCAAGGCACTTACTACCTGTACGGCCCACATCACACTGGTGATGTCATTCTTTGGACCTTGTATCTTCACCTATCTATGGCCAGTCAGCATTACATGGGATAGCAAGTTTCTTGCTGTGTTTTATGCAGTGATCACTCCTCTACTAAATCTTGGCATTTACACCTTCAGAAACAAAGAGATTACAATTGCCATAAGGAGACTAAATGTTAGCAAATGGATTTCATTTGTTATTTCAGGAACACACAATATTAAAGTGTCACTGTAAGGTCTCTAAATTAGCTATAACTGTCCTATTGTACAGCAAAATAAACATAATCAGGAAAACAATGGCTATGACCATTTGTATAATCTACCAATAATTTTGAATCAGTGATATTCAATATTCAGAATTCTCATGGTTTAGAAGGAAATTTGTCTGTTTTCTAGTCTTGAAAATCAAATAAAAATTAAAGATTAGTGTTTGCAAAGATGACACACATACATATGTGTATATACAAATATGCATGCTTGTCGCACCCATTTGTTGAGCAAGAAACTGTATATGTAAGGCAAATGACTAGAGAAAATATGTCAGTAAAAGATTTGGAGAGTAATTTTTAGATAATTTCAGCCGTGGGTCAGTTGAGTTAATTTTTGTGGGTTATGTATGCTGTGTCTAATTTTATTTTTCTATGTAGATATCTCTTAAAGACAGTATCTTTGCTTCATGAGTATTCCTTTGTCAAATATTAGCTGACCATAGATGTTAGAGTTTATTTCTAATTTTTCAACATATTCTATTGGTTCATGTGATGTATTTTACACCAGTACTGTTTTGATTATATCTATTTATAACATAATTTCAATTGGAAAGCATCATGCCTCCTTATTTGCACTTCTTGTTTTAGATACTTTTGGCTGTAGGTTTTGTGATTCCATGAAACTGTAGATTTTGTTTTTCTGTAAAAAATGCCACTGAAACACTGTTAGCAATTGTATTGTATATTTAGATTGCCTTAAGTAGTATGAAGATTTTAGCAATAGTAATTCTATGAAACTGCACATGGGCTATCTTTCCATTTACCTATTACAATTCTGTTTCTTTCATCTATGTTCAATAAATTTCAGTATGACATTCTTTTTTTTCCTTAGTTCAATTTATCCCAAAATATTTTATTCATTTCAATTTTATTTTAAATGATATTAGTATTTTGATTTGTTTGGAGATACTATTGCTATTGTATACGAATGCAACTATTATACCAAATTTGTGGTGTTATTGTTTAGACTGCAACTTAAGTTTGAAAATGTAAAACTAGAATAAAGGAGGAAAAATCTCCATGACATTGTTGTAAGCAAAGATTTCTTTTAATATGACATCAAAAGACCATGCAACAAAAATGATAATAAATAAGTTAACTCATTTATTAAAATATCTCCTTACAAAGGAAATAATCAACACAATGAAAAGGAAACCTAGAGAATGGGAAATATATTTATAAATAAATTCTCTGATACAGAATTAAATCAAAGATATATGAAAATCTCATACAAATCAATGTCTAGCAACCATATTACTCAATTGAAAATTGGATAGATAGCTGAAATGGATTTTTGTCCAAGAAGGAGATAAATATGAGCAATGGATGAACAAAGGTTTTCAATATCACTAATCACTAGGGGGTGTCAATAAAAGCCATAGTGAAATATTACCATACACTTGAGAAGAAGGCTAGAGTCCAAAATCAAGACATAGTGCTTGGTGAAATAATGAAGAAGAGGAAAACTTTCTACACTCTTGATAGGATTGTAAATTATCATGGTCTTTATAGGAAACAGTATAGAAGTTCTTCAAAGGCTTAAAAAATAGAACTGTTATATGACTCAACAATCTCTTTTCTGAGTATATTCACAAAGGAAGTGAAATCAGAACTACACTTCACACTGAGATATCTGAATTATTGCATGTATAGCGCATTACTCATAATAGCCCTTGTGAAAATGTGGAAACAACTGAAGTGTGCCTTGATGGGTAAATAAATAACATATTTTGGCTATATATACAATGGAATTTAGAAAACCTTGCAATTTGTAGAAATATAGATAGACCTGAAGTGAATTATCCCGTTATTTGAGTCATTTAAAAATGTTAAGTAATTGTATTCTCATGAATTTTTTAGAACATCTTCCTCTGAATTAGAAATTGATTACTTAGTCTTCTCATTGCCACCTTCATGTCTTTGTTCCTCAGTGTGTAAATGGCAGGATTGAGAATGGGAGTGATCATAAAGTCCAAAATAGCAAGGAATTTATCCACTGGAACTGTGGGAAATGGCCAAATATAAACAAAAATGCATGGTCCAAAGAACAAAACCACCACAGAGATGTGTGCTGAGAGAGTAGAGAGGGCCTTGGACAAGTCAGCTAAAGAACGTTTCCACACAGTGAACAAGATGAAGATATAGGAGATAATCAATAAGAAGAAGGTGCCTGTGGAAATGAATCCACTGTTGGCAGTTACTATGAGCTCCATTCTGTTGGTGTCTGTGCAGGCCAGTTTAATAAACCAAGGAAGATCACAGTAAAAGCTGTCTATCTCATTTGGACCACAAAATGGCAAATGGACAACAAAAGCTAACTGGGCCACTGAGTGAATGAGACCGATAACCCAAGCACCAGACAGGAGCAAAATGCACATCCGTGGGCTCATGATCGTCAGGTAGTGGAGGGGCTTGCATATGGCCACATATCTGTCCAAGGCCATGGCTATGAGCAGCACCATCTCAGATCCACCCAGCACATGAAGGACAAATATCTGGATGACGCACCCCTTGAATGAAATGGTACTGTGCCCAGAGTACATGTCACAAATCATCTTAGGAACTGTTAAGGTAGAAAGACACAGATCAATGAATGAGAGGTTTCCTAAAAAGAAGTACATGGGGGAATGCAAATGAGGGTCAAAGACCACTGTAAATACAACAAGAATATTTCCCAAAACAATTACTACATAAAATACTGTGGAGAAGCCAAGCAGGAGATGCTGCATTGGTCTGTAGCTAGTAAGTCCCAGGAATATAAATTCAGGAGAATAATTTGTTGTAAACATTGGCTTTGTCTGTATTATCTGAAAGGAACAAAAGAGAAATATTTGTTAAAGAATGCACTGAGAGTATTAAAAGAATCAGTTATTACTGTCTTGGTATTAAAGAAAAATTCTTACCCTTAATCCCAAAAGCCCTTTTAAAATATATATTCATTTTTGTTTATCAAGTATTCATTGAGTGGTGATCAAGAACAGCACTGTGTATGTACCAGTGAGCATATCAGTCACTGAACCACATTCTAGAATAATCACAGAGCCCATCTCTATGGAGTTTTCAGTTTACTTGTGAATCTGCGCATAAAGTAAGTAATCATGTATCTGTATAATTTTTATGGCAGTAACTTGGGTTAAGCAAAAAAACCAAGGGCGAACCGGAAAACCTCATCACAATTGTATCTTCCCTGGTTAGAAGATTCACATGCTAACATCTAAAGTGTTGATAGAGTGAAATAAACTAAAAAAAGAAGCAAAAGTCACTTATCAGAGGAAATGCTCTGAGGCAAAAAGAAGTAAAAATCCTGGAATAAATTAAAGACCTGTAAAGATGTTGTCAAAGAAGAATTCTATATCATAGTTTTGTTTCATACCTAAAAAGTGATAGAAAACTACTGAGACAGAATATTAAAATAATGTTTATCCTTTAAAGAGTGAACAGTGTCTACCAATAAAGATGGAATAGAAAGTGCTAAAGAAAAGGAAGACAGACCATTTAGGAGTTTCTCAAAAGACAATATCAAGTAATCCAGAAAGGATGAATTTGTCAATAAAATGTATAGATGTAATTTACCAAATATGGCAAAAATGTGACATCTTTAAAAATTAAAATTAATTTTAATGATGTTTTTTAAAAACTTTTTAAGAACAGGAAACGACAAATATACAAATATTTAGATAATTATGTGAGGAAAATATTTCTAGGCATAAATCCATGTGATTTATGCAGAAAGACTTGACACTTTTCCATTAACAGTATTGAAATATAATATTGAAATTTCAACAATCCATGTAAATTTTAATTGTAAATAAATATAAGAATGTAATTATAAAATATAATGAAAAAGAAACTAAAATAAATACACATAAAGATATGAGCAAAAGAATTTCAAATAGTCAATACATATAAAGCATATTTACATTCACTTATAACCAAAAAATATAAATAAAAAATATAGAAATGCTTTTTTTTATGTAAAACTGTAAGAGTTTAAAATAAAAACAACAAAATTCCAGTGGTGAAATTATGAGGGACCTTCCTCTGCAAATCAAATTATGAATTCTTATGTTTCTAAGACACAATTTCTAAACATAAATTAAATATAAAAAAATTACCTTATTGAAAATCCTATTATAAATAATTTTAAGTTAATACCAGTTCCAATGTCATTGGGAAAGTATGATTATTTATAAAAAAGAAAACATTGAAAATAGATTTGAAAAATTGTCAATTATATTATTCCTAGTTTATTATATGAGGTAGTAAAAATACTAGACTCTATATGTAGAAAACTTGCATCGTTGAAAAAAAAAAAAGAGGTTCCATTTGACCCAGCCATCTCTGTGCTGGGTATCTTTCCAAAAGAATTAAAAGAATCATGTCACAATGTTATATGTGCACCTATGTTTATAGCAGCACAGTTTGTAATAGCTAAAACTTGGAAACTGAATAATCCTATTTGTGTTTCTTTTCTTACATGTTTGTTACCGATTTGTTTCTGTAGACTACTTCTCATCCTTAAGTTCCATTCACACATCACCTTCTCAAGGACCATTTCCTCTTTCTTTCCTCTCTTTCGTCTTCCTTCTTCTTGGCCTGCACTAGACTTATTGCTTTATTCTCTCAGGTCACTTTGTACAAACATCAATCATAAGGCTATTTAGTGATATTTTTATGACTGACATTTGACTCATGGGTCTACTGCTTCTGCCATGTCTATGAGGGCAGAGATATATTATTCCCAAATTCTAGCTCATAGTAAGTATTGCTTAAATGTTCGTGGGTATATAGATACTTGGGATAGGTTTCATACTATGTTTTGATCCTGCCTGTAGAAAGGTAAACTATATTGTCAACCAAAAAAAAAAAAACCTGTTCAAACATCTGGCAGGATGAAATAAACCTGCATAACGTGTTTATCATAGTATCCTGTCAAGAAGGTGAATTCAACAAGCTTAAGGGATGT